CTTCCTCCTGATTCATCTGGGAGCCTAGAACTGCTCTAAGAGCCCCTTTCTTGGGCAGCTACAGTTCTACTCCAGGGGCCGAGCTCAGCTATAGCAGACGGTTAACTGTTCTTCCCACCGCACCCCTAAGCCTGTGCTTAGACCTCGTGCCCACCCCACCTGGCCAAACTGTGTAGTGGCATGAGGCCTAACATGAAGGTCTCTGTCACAAGCCCTCTTGACACCTAAAACTTGAATGGCTGAAGCCATGCTGCCCCCGTTGATTAAGTCACCTGCCAGGAACTCCTCCATATTGTGGGACCAGATGCAGCTCCTGTGTGACTCTGAGGAGTGGCCAGTCGCTGGGAATCGTTCCTGTCATCCTCAGGGAAGCAGGGGCTGGTGGGCGTGGTGATGTGCGCTGTCCATTCTCCCCCACAATGGCCCACACACCCCCTCTTGGACACCTGCCCAGGGCTGGGAGTCTCATCCTTAGCCGTCACCAGAGTCCTTCATCGAGGAGGGGCGGGGTGAGTAGAAAGATAGCTGCTGTCTTCCAGGGGTGTGCAGATGTGAATCCCTTTCCCCAGGCGGAACACCAACAGTCACAGGCCTGGAAGTGAAGGGATCTTGGGTCAGGGTGGGTGATATTGTCCAAGGGCTGGAAAGAAGAGTAGCACAGCCCTAGAATGCAAAGGGGCTTGAGAAGAGCCCAGAAAAAGAAAGGAGACATGGTTGCCAAGAATTCCGAGCAGTGGCTTCAGAGGCTCTTCCCTCTCTCTGAGCATTCCTCCTCCCACTTCAGAGGGGGGACGCACAGTGGGTCCTGTATCCCCCCAAATAGATGGCAAGATGGGGCTTTAACTTCTAACCTTTCACCTTAGGGTGTCTGAGGCCATTTAGAGCACCTCACTTTGTCTTATGCAGGCCCTGGCCTGACTGGCTACACAAACTCAGGCTTCCCATGCAGTGAGAAGTAGTCTCCAAGTGGCCACCAGGGGGCAGCCACGCCCGGAAGGCCTTCAGAGGGTCATGGTCCAGTGTTCTAGCACATCTCTGAGACTTGGCTTTACTCAAGTCAGACTAACGCCTGTGCGATGTCGATTGCTTTCTGCTTTTCTCCTCTTCTCTTTTAGAATTTAAGAAGTGTGTCCTGTGGCAGTGCATGCTGAAAGAATGTACCAGTCATCATCTGTGTGCATTTCTTCGTGGCCCCAGCCCTGCTAGCCTGCGCTTGGCAACGGCAGCCTGAGTTAGCATTTGTGTCTCGTTTGTGCCCCTGGGGATGTCACCTCCTGGTTAGGAGTCAGGACAGTCACTCTGTCCTCACGTGACCTTGTCTGGATGTCAAAGGTCACAGAATCCCTCACAATGTTCCTGGCCTGTGAGCCCCTTTCTAACTCTCACTGTGGAGTTACCATAGCATCCCATCCGGAGGGGACTGAAGCTCCAGGCACCGGTGAAGGCAGCACTTCAGATCACGGTGTCATCATCTGGAACTCGGCTGCTTCAATGCTGTGTCTATTATTATTATTAACGGTTAAGCCCATTGCTGCTGTAATCTAGTTCTCTGGAGTCTGAGACATGGAGGGTTGTGATTCAAAGCCAGCCCAGGACAGAAAAGTCCTCAACACTCCTCCATCTCCAAAAATGCCAGCCTGGAGGCATGGCTCAAAGAGTAGTGCATCAGCTGTGAACAAGTAAGCTGAACAAGCATGACACCCTGAGTTCAAGGCATGATGCACACACAAACATTGTAATTGCGTGCCAGCATCTAAAAACGAAGAGGTTGCACAGCTACTCAAAAAAAAGAACAAAAACAAAAACAAAAAAGAACAGAAATCCGCCAAGACTTTCTGTGCATTGTCACTGCCTGCGGAAGTCAGGAATCGAGCAGCAGCCCCCAACTTTTTTTTTTTCTTGGCCAGTCGTGGGCCTTGAACTCTGGACCTGGTGCTGTCCCTCAGCTCTTCAGCTCAAGGCAAGCGCTCTACTACTTGAGCCACAGCGCCACTTCCGGTTTTCTAGTGGTTTATTGGAGATAAGAGCCTCACAGACTTTCCTGCCCTGGCTGGCTTTGAACCATGATCCTCAGATCTCAGCCTCCTGGGTATCCAGGATGACAGGCTGAGCCACCGGCGCCCGGCTGGTCCCCAGCTTTGCAAGGACACCTCCACAGCATGCCACCTTCCTCTGCTGTGACTTTGCTCCTTTCCTTTTGATCTCCAGCATCAAGAGGGCCTGTGTTTCTCCATTCTGTTATGCTGTATGTCAATGGCATATGTTCCTGTCCAACAGCCACATTTTCCATTTCCTCAAGTCCCTGAGCTTCAAAAACTATTATCCACAACTGACCAGCATCATAGTTATATTAAGAGCGAACACCAGTGCCGTTGTACAACTACTTAAAGATAACTTAAAAAAAAGAGCAAACACACCAGAGTGTGATAAAAGGCTTTAATTATGATTGTTTTCTTAATATAGCAAAAAGTGTTGCTCAATTTGCTACCCACCTACAATGTTGCAGACAAAATATTCTGTTTGTAAGGAGCTGAGATCACAGTATCTGTGCAGCAAGCGATCTATGCGTGCGGAGTCAGATTTTCAAACGTGGAAGTGAGCACATGACAATCCATGCTTCTACTGATTCCCCCCCACCTTTCCCCAGCTCCCTTTAAAAACAAAGAAGGGAGCAAAGAGGAGAGAGAGAGAGAGAGAGAGAGAGAGAGAGAGAGAGAGAGAGAGAGAGGGAGAGAGAAACTGAGCGAGAGGCCTGTCCACCAAGGGCAGGAAGTACTAACAACACCGGCTTGGCCACCCCTGCCTTATTAGGCACAGGAATCTCAGTGAGACGTGATAAGGGCCTGGCTGTGTGTCTGGGACAGCAAGGTCAGAGTGCCACCCAAGGTCACACTGCACGTCATGAGTGCTCTGCACCCCCCTCCCCCCGCCCCGCGTCTTCCACACGTGTCTGTGTGGAGCAGGGTCTGCCTTGCACTGGGGCTGTGAGTTGCCAGCAGCCACAGCTGGCCACCGGTGGCCCAGGGGGCTTCCAGGGGTCAGATCGAATATGGTGTCCATTGCTGTCCTTGAAGTTCCACAGAGCTCCAGGAACGGAAGAATCACCCACCAGGGACATCGGGACTCACAGGCGGAGCCCCCAGGGTCCCCCGCAGGGATGTCCCGACGCTCGCTGAGAATCGTCCAGCACAGAGCAGAGAGCAGAGCCACGCAGGCCAGGTCTGTCTGTCCGAGGAGGGCCAGAGCTGCCCCTGGGCTGTGTTTCGTCAGTAATGCGCGTGGCTTTTAAACTGCTTCCTGGGAAGCAGCCCCTCCCCTCCAGCCAGGCCCAGACAGGTGAGTTTCCAGATGGCACCGTGTCATAGGCCCCAGTGCCACAGGTGGCAGTCGGAGGAGGCTGGCACCCAGGAGCACTGGTTCTCGCAGACTCTCAGGGCAGAGGGCCCTGGGAAAGGAGGGCTGGCTGCCAGCAGTGGTCTCAGCAGTGGGGGTGGGGGGGGGATGCAGATGCTACCTTCGTTGGTGAGTTTCTTAAGCTGAGGGCTTGAACCACAAACAGACATCTCACAACTCGAGGGTCAGAAGTCTGAAACCCAGACACCCAGGATGGGAACCGTTCCTTGCTCCTTCCCAGCTTCTATCCACTGCCACCCACCCTCCGTGGTCCCGGGCTTCTGCCCGCAACCCTTCCACCTCTCATCTCGGCATTCTCCCTAGTCCCGTGTCCACGTGTCCTCTCTATCAGGACACCGGGAGCACTGGATGAAGCCCCCCCTTTGATGATCTCACCTCCACTCGATTATCTGCAAAGACCATGTCCCAGGTAGGTTATGCTCACTGGAGCAGGGGGTCAGCGTCTCAACGTATCTTTCTAGAAACACAATCCAACCCACAAAACAGGAATTTTGCCTCAAAAAACCCTACCACCATGGTGCCCACCCGCACCCCTTGCCCTGGGCTATTTGAGGTGGTGGGAGCTCCTCTCTCCTTCCGTTGGCAACTGACGAACGTCCCTCTCAGTATATTCTTCTCTACTCAGTCTTATTAGAAAGTAAGTTCCTCCTAGACTGGGGGTGGGGGGTCTGGGGAAGGGGTGAGAATATGGAAGATGAGAGGGCAGGCGTGTGTGTGGAATCAGAGCTGTGCATAGAAATGACAAAGGTAAAAGCTGTTCCATGCTTGTGGCAAGTTTGGGGATGTCATTCTTCTTTTTTGTTTATGTGATTACGAGGATTTGAACCCAGGGCTTCATGCATGCTAGGCAAGCACTCTACCCCTGAGCCACCTTCCCCGCCCCGGGGAATGTCACTCTTAAGGGGTCCTCTAAGGTAGGTATGTTAGTAAGAATACAGACTCCGCTACTTGAACAGAGACTTAAACAATGGATGGAGTGGGGTTGTATTCCACTTCCCAGGAGCTGTGACCGGGTAGGCAAGCCAGCCAGGTGAGGAATTCCTGCCTCAGGACCTTGCCCAGGCCTCAGATGCCTCCTCTGCCTGTCTGGGAGTCAAACCCACTCAACACCTGTCCATGTCTTAGCCAGAGGGAAGGGAGGCAAGGCAGGGGCAGGCAGGTCCTGTTCTTTTCAAAGATTACTTGGAAATTGGACTCATCACTCCCACCTCTACTAGCTTCAAGGAATTGGAGGAAACACATTGTCTGGGATTCTAGTAGTTGTACAAAGGAGTTGGTGTATGCTCTTGATATGACTACGATTCTTTTAGAATATGGATAATGTTTTTTGAGGGGCTCAAAAACTCAAGCCCAGGAGCTTGAGAATAAGGGAAATGTGGCCACCTGGGACAGTTAGATCTGCCAGCACTCTACAGCATAGCGGAATGGAGAAACGCGAGTCCCTGTGATGCTACAAATCCAAAGCAAAGGAGTGGCTCTGCAGCGAGGTGGGGCGCGGGGAGGGGGGGTCCTGCTTGTAGAGCTGGGGCTGCGGCTCATCCCTGGCTTCTGCAGGCAGTGGGTAACACACACAAAACCTGGGCAGATTTCTGGTTTTTGTAAGAGAAGCTGTGCAATCTCTTAATTTTTTACATGTTGACAGCTAATTAAAAAGCTGCCAGACCTAACGAGACAAAGACAGACATGGAGGGAACAAAATAATAGTCTAGTACAGAAGAAATAGGATTTCAGATAAAAAAGGGTGTCCCTAATTTCTCCTTCACCTGACAGTAGCACAAGAAATCCGGAGGAATTCATACGGGAGAGAAGAGAATTATTCAAAAGACGGGGTTGCCATGCGGTGCTCCTGACCGTCCGCTGGGACCCCTGATGAAGGCCTGGGCTCGGGAAGGTGGGTGTGGGGCTGTTCTACAGCCGCCTGGTTTTCAAGGACATAACAGGCTCTGAAGCTCTCCAGGACTCGGGCCTGGAACACGGCCTTGTCCTTCACCTGCCAGGCGTCCGACTCGATGTACACGTTGAACGGGTCGTGCGAGTGCTCCAGCTTCTTGGAGCGGATGTAACTCAGCATGATGCCCAGGGTGAAGAAACCGAAGAAGCCCAGCACCATGAGGATGTAGAGCGCCTCCAGCCTGCCATCGTCCCCAAGCGGGGGCGCCCTGCGGGCCAGGCCTGACACGGACGCGTTGCTGCCCTGCGGAATTGTCCCTGGCCACCAGGTGGTCAGAAACCATGTCCCAGCCGTGGAATTCGGCAGGATCATACTGGATGGACTTCCACGCTCCCCGGTGGGAAAAGTGAACTTCCTGGGTAAACTTTCTAAAAGAAAAAAAAAAAAGCAACATGAAATCAAATGCACGCATCGGGTCAGTATTCTTCAATACCTCAGGAGAGGGAGGGAGCTGATACGGGCCATCTTGGTTCTGTACAATTCTGTCCTACGGATCAATGGTTACATTGGTTTTCTTTCCTTTCCATTCATTACGTAATCCCTCCTCCTCCCCCCCACATCAAAATGGCAGTTAGAATGAGTTCTAATAATGTGCATCACTGGCTATGGTGCGGTGTGTGCATGCATTTTAGTTGACATAAAAAGCACTGGATCATATAATTTCACTGGGCCTTTCTTTTCTGCCCTACAACTGTGCCTCCACTTACTGCTGCCCAAAGCTTGTGGAGGCCCACACAGGTGGGTGCTGCATGGACCGTGAACTCCATGGGCAAAGATGAGACAGACAACCTCATCTTTGCTCTCCTGCGAATCTGAGGAAAGCCCACATTCTGTACACGTGTTCTTGGTGGCTAATCTAAGTGGACAGAGCGACTCCAGGCCACCCTTGGGGGTAATGCCCACTGGGAGGTTGCTATGGTTTCAATGGGTCTCCCTAGAAGTTCAAGGGCTGGAAATTTAGTCCCCAGTGTAACAGGGGACCCAAGAAAGGCCAGGGGCCCCCCACGCCACTGTCTCAGAACACTTATAGAGGAGCAAAAGGACGCAGATGTTGGACTGGCACCTTGGTCCTGCAACTTCACAATCATACAGTCTAGGCAATTGCCTGGACCCTGCCCAGCTGCCTTTTTCTCTTTTGAGACAGGAAGGCATATGGCTTCTGGCCTTGAATTGCTGTCATATGCTGGGAAATGAACACACTGATTTTACTGGGTTTCCCACCTTGCTAAGAAATTGAAGCTGAAAGACTTGAGGTGTTGAGGTTTTAGGTTCTCTTTGCCCATAGCTGTCTCCCTCCTTTACCTTGTGGGGAGGATCAGTCAGGAAGGATAAGCAAAGCTTGTCTGTGGCTTTCACAGATTGCTACAAAGACCTACTAGAAGTAGGAAGGTTGTGTGAGCTGAAGAGACTGAAGGTAAACATGGTGTCTGTAGGACTTACTTGACAACAGATTCAAACTCAAAGCTCAACAATGTCTTTTTAAATGACTAGAAAGCACTCTGGGACACATAGCACATTGCCCCAAAAAAGAACAAGTGGAGCTGACAATGTAATTTTCTTTCCCAAACCCTAGAGCAACTACACATGCAAATCATTCTGCTACCAATTACTATTAGGGAGTTCTTACAGATTAATGACCAGATGAGACCAGAAATTATGGCAGGCAACATTTGAGGACCCAAATGATCATTGGTTTAGAACCTATAACTCCATAAGGTAAATTCTGCAGTTAATTCATTTGTATTTACTCAAAGGACTTGTTACTTAAAACCAGATGGAAATTTCTATAGCTAGAGAAAGCAACCAGAAATATCTGTTTTTGAAAACCTGGGCCATTTAACATCCTTGAGAAGTGCTTGGTTGAAATGTAGGTTTCTGAGAATTTATGATCCAGTAGGTCTGGGTGGAAAAACTGAAGCTTTGGGTTTGTTTTATTTGGGTCCCATCCTGGGGTTTGAACTCAGAGCCTGGGTGCTTTCCTTGCACTTTTTTTTGATCAAGGCTAGCACTCGACCACTAAAGCCACACACCCCTACTTCTGACTTTATTGGTGATCAGTTGGAGATAAGAATCTCTAGGCTTTCCTGCTGGGGCTGGCTTTGAAGCTCGATGGTCAGATCTCAGCCTCTTGTGTAGCTAGGATTACAGGCGTAAGGTACTGGCATGTTCAGATGCTGCTCACCTGGAGAGAAGCCCTGTTAGAAGCCTTGTTGGAAGCCCTCACAACATTGTATGACTGGACCCTACCTCTAGAGACTTTTGTGCCTGTGTCCAAATTCTAGAATCATTGGTTTTTACCTCCTAGCAGGTAAGAAGACAACAGGGGCCATCTGTTCCTTCTGAGCTGGGAGCTAGCCTTGTCTTGGTCTTCTGTGTGTCCATCTCCTCAGGGTTACAGGTTACTGGGTGGTCAGGGTCTCTAGGACCTGGGATGAGCTGCACAGGCACAGAACCTGACTGATCTCATGATCAGAAAGGTGAGTGACACTGCCTAGGGAGTCTGGTTCTGGGACCAGGGCTTTCCCAGGTCCTTCTGTGGGTTACAGACTGGGATGTGGGCTCTATGGAATGACAAACATTGAACATCAGAGGGTCCACTCGGCACACCGGGACCCAGTCACACTCACTCAGGGTGGAAAGAGCTGAGCATTTTGGAAAGAGAATGGACGACAGTTGAAATAAAGCCAGTGAGCCTCGCTTTCCCCATCTAAGAGGTGGGAATAATGAAATGAACCATGATCACATACCACAGGGTTTTTCTCAAGTGGTCTCATCTCTTCTTTTTGCTTCTGATGCTCTCTATAGGGGGAGCATGCGTATCATTTCATTTTAAAAATTCTTTGCTGAGAACTGGCGGCTCAGGCCTGTAATCCAAATCAGGAGGCTGAGATCTGAGGATCCTACCCAGCCTGGGTAGGAAAGACCATGAGTGCGCGCGCGCGCGCGCGTGTGCGCGCACACACACACACACACACACACACACACACACACACACACACACACACACACACACACAGCCAGAAGTGGAGCTATGGCTCAAGTGGCAGAGCTAGCCTTGAGCAAAATAAAGTCTCACAGATGTTACCCAGGCCCTGAGTTCAATAATAATAATAATAATATAATTCTACCGGTCCTTGCAGATCTGGCTCTGTGACAAACTATGCGTGACTCTCTCCTTTCCTACCCTCCCTACCTACCTGGGCCTCATCTACCCTCTTCAGTCCCTAAGAATGCCTTGCTTATATCTCTCCTCTAATATGGATTCTAGTCTAACTTATATGGGAATGATTTATAGCTGTGCCTGAGCTTTTCCTTCTAGAAGCTTCTGAAAGTGAGATACAAACATCCTGTCTATGTAAATCCCCATTCAAGCACCAAGAATGCTAGTTACAAGGGTTTGCTGAGTTGATGGGAATTAAAAGTGCATTCAGTACCATTGCGATGGGAATAAAAATAGTGACTAGTTGATAAAGCAGACCAGACTCTGCAAATAGGCTACTGGACAGATCATCAGAGGCGTGTTTTTCTATATATCTTCTATTTCTTTAAATGACTTATTTTCATTTAACAATCTGTATTGTCCATATAGTTACATATGTAGTACAATCTACCAATCTACTTTAGTCTTAAGAGAATTAAGGCACTCAGTAGTTGTGTGTGTGTGTGTGTGTGTGTGTGTGTGTTCCAGTCCTGGGGCTTGAATTCAAGGCCTGGGCTCTGTCTCTGAGGGGTTTTTGTTTGTTTCTTTCTTTCTTTTTGCTCAAGGCTGGTGCTCTACTAAAGTCACAACTCCATTTCTGACTTTTTGGTGGTTAAGTGGAGAGTCTCAAAGATTTTCCTTCTCAGGCTGGCTTCAAACTGAGATCCTCAGATCTTAGCTTCCCAAATAGCTACCAGCATCCTATCAGGAATTCTTTCTTTTTCTTTTTTATTGTGAAAATACTGCACAGCGGGGTTACGATTACATGGGCAAGGTAATGAGTACATTTCTTATCAAGCACTGTTGCCTCCTCTTTTGTTTCCCCTTCCCATCCCTTCCCATCTCCACCCCTCCAGTTCCCCCCTCCCACCCCATCAGGAGTTCTTACTAGTGAGGTACAATTTATGACATGCTAGTGTAATATAGTTTTTTTAAACTGTGTTCATCATTCGATGTTTGTCTTTTGCGTCAAAGGTAAGCTTTTGAAGGTAGGGATCTTGGTCCCTTTTCATTTTGTCTGGAGTAACTAGGAAGGGCATGTCTGGCGATGGTGGGAACGCAATACCCATTCACTACATGCAAGCATGCACGAATGCACCGGGGCCAGGAGAAAGACTCCAGACCGCACAGGGGCCATCTCACCCTCTGAAACTGAGGAGCACGGCGCGGACACTCCCGAGCCCCGCTGAAGCCTGGTCTAGTTTTCAGCACGACTCCCTTTCCATTCACCTGTGCCTGGCAAGGCCTACCAGATGGTTCCCTGGGGGAGAGTGGGATGCGTGGCCTGATGGGGAGCCTCAATCACGCCCAGAAAGAACATGTTCCCTCTCAGGTACGGGTGAATCCCTGCCTTGCCATCTTGACCATAAGTGACAGCTAGGCACAGGGCTCCTTCATGGAGCCGGAAGTTCTGCCATATGCATTGCTGGTCACACTCAAGGGGGGGATCAGTCACATGCAGCCAGGGAGAGGGGCATTAGGTGAGGTGGACTCAGGGCTGCCACCGGTGGATTCTGAAAGTTCCCGGCAGCAATCACCATTCCAAGCTCTGATAGCCATGCTGTCCCCTGTCTCCAGCGATGCCACACGGCTGGGCCACCCACCCGAGCGCTTTGGGGGAGGGCGGGGAGAGCAAGCCCTGAGACAACAAACTGAAATCCTTCCTCTCCTTGGGGCGGATCGCACTGTTGTGGTGGCCAGCTACACAGCTTTCTTCGTGGCTTTAAGTATTTCCCATCTTCTTTTTGATGCGTTCAGTGTTGTTCCTAATCTTCTACAAGGATATCCCTATAATAATAATGGTCATCATCATAATAGGGAAACGTTTTGCTGGGGTTTCTAAGTAGTGAAGACAGGCAAGGAGCAGGAAGGAGAAAGGCGCTGAACCACTCACTGCAGGGACCCGGTGGTCCTCTGTGCGGTAGCCAGAGCCCAGAGACTGAGCCCAGACTGGGACTTACCCTCGCCTTCCGTCTGTCCTGCGGGCGCAGAGAGCCGGCTGCAGTCCTGGCCTGGAGTGCTGGGCCCCAGAATGGCCCTGGCCTGGGAAGTGACAACCTGCTCCCGCTGGCGTGGGGGAGGGAGGGGGAGGAGGGAGAAGGAGGAGAGTCAGGAGGGGCCTCTGAGTACCCGCGGGCGTCCAACCTCTCCCAGCCTGTGCGTCCTGAGCCAGCAGCTGGGGCACCTACTGCCCAGCCCCAGACACCCCGCGCCCTGCCTCCCCCCACCTCCCCCGGGGCCTGTGCGACCAGGAAAACTGAATTCCACAAAGACCCTGGGGAGAATAGAGAAACGACAGACGGGCAGACAGGAAGACAGACAGACAGGCAAGCAGGCAGGCAGGCAGATAGACAGACAGGCAAAGCAGGCAGGCAGGCAGATAGACAGGCAGGCTGGCAGGCAGAAAGACAGAAAGACAGACAGACAGGCAGACAGACAGGAAGACAGACAGACAGGCAGACAGACAGGCAGGAAGACAGACAAGCAGGCAGGCAGGCAGATAGACAGATAGGCAAAGCAGTCAGGCAGGCAGACAGACAGGCAGGCAGGCAGGCAGAAAAACAGAAAGACAGACAGACAGGAAGACAGACAGACAGGAAGACAGACAGACAGGCAAACAGACAGGCAGGCAGACAGACAGGCAGGCAGGCAGGCAGACAGATAGACAGGCAAAGCAGTCAGGAAGGCAGGCAGACAGGCAGGCAGACAGAAAGACATACAGACAGGCAGACAGACAGACAGAAAGACAGACAGGCAAGCAGACAGACAGACAGGCATGCAGGCAGACAGGCAGGCAGGCAGGCAGGCAGACAGGCAGGCAGGCAGGCAGGCAGATAGGCAGGCAGGCAGGCAGGCAGGCAGGCAGACAGACAGGCAGGCAGGCAGACAGACAGGCAGGCAGGCAGACAGACAGACTAGCAGACAGGCAAGCAGGCAGGCAGACCCTCTCCTGAGAATTCAGGGTGGCAGGCTAGGAAACCTGGTGACCAAGGTAAAAGCCCCTCTGAGGGACCCCTGCCTCCCACACCTGGCACCACACTTGGACAAATAGCTCCTTAAATATCTCCAAACAGAAGCATTTCAAAGATGGCTCAAAACCCCACCAGCCTCCTTTCTATCTTTTCCTGCACCCCAAATGTGAATTGAGCACTTACTTACTGGGTCCCTGTTGGTTAGACAGTGTCCAAGCCCCAAGCCGCCTTCCTATCCAACAGAGGCCAGCCACGCAATGGCTCCAGTGGCTGCCGCTAAGTTCACAGCAGTTCCCATGGGGCAGTCAGCAAACGCTGCCAGGCTGCCCAGCTGGGGCAGGCTGACCAACCTAGAGCAAAAAGCCAGCAGAGGGGCACCAGCCCCGGTCATAGCTCCTGGGAGCTGGGAGCTGGGGAGCTGGGGTCCCACCACGGATCTGCTCGGGTGGCATTTCGGGGTGCCCCTCCTGGTGACAGGGCAGATCTGTCGGGGAAGAGGTTTTCTCACTCAAGGCCTCGGACGTGGGATTGTCTCCTGTGAAATCTGTGACACTCTGTGGAAAGGATTTGAAGGTAGAAAACCCTTGCACATATAAAGGTTCTTTGTAGTTTTACTGATAATGAGTAGAATCTAACTGTCTAAAAATAGAAAAACTGATTAAGTTATGGCATATATAATAGAATGCTCTTCCACCCGGGGGAATATTATATGCAATTACTAATAGTGCTTACAAATATTTTGTCATAACATGGCGTGTCTTTATGTTATCATGGTACATAAAAATTACAAGGAATGGAATTCACTGGACACTGTGTTGAAAATGAACTATAGAACTTATGGGTACCAAAATCAAATACAATGACAACAGGGGATATACCATAGGGGGAAGAACAAATCACATAGTACATTAAAAGCAACAACAAAGAAAAACCTTGTGTCCATGTCTTAGAGTTCATTTCGCTTAGCATCCTCCTGTATAATCATGTGTACATAACTATTGAGCTAGTCTGCTCATCTGCTAAGATTATCCTAGATGTATACTAGTTATTGCAGATAAGGGAAACCACGGGACCTATGTTTCTTTGGATCTGGCTTACTTCACTTAATATGATTTTTTTCCAAGTCCTTCCATTTCCTTACAAATGGGGGGTGGTGTCATTCTTTCTGATAGAAGCACAGAATTCCATTGTGTGTGTGTGTGTGTGTGTGTGTGTGTGTGTGTGTGTATCACACTTGAATTAGGGAAGGGACAGGGAACAACAGAATGGTGAGACAAAGGACAAATGGGACCAATGCCACAGCGATTCTCACGAGACAACACGTTGGAAATAATGTTTACAGTGGGGGAGGATGGGGTGAGGGAAATGGGAGAAAAATGAAGGAAGGGGAACAAGTTTGACAAGAAATGCACTTATTACCTTACTCATGTAACTGTAGCCCCTCTGTACATCACCTTGACAATAAAAAACAAACAAAAACCTTGTGGGTGGGGGTTGGAGGGGAAAACTGGGAGAGAGCGAGGGAAGGGGTGACACTGTCCAAAAAGCAACGCACTCTATCTGACTTATTTAGCTGCAACCCCTCTGTGCGTCACCTTTATAATAAAAACAATTACAAGGACTTAATTTTTATTGTATTTCCTTGTGTCACTGGGGGTTTGCGCTCAGGCACTTGTGTGTGCCTAGACAGGCGATCTTACTGTTGAGCCACGCCTCTGGCCCTGTCTCTTGCTGGTTATCTTTGAGACAGCGTGCACACTTGAGTGTGATCCATGTATTTTAGGCTCCCCAAAACAGATGTTGTGCATGGAACAATTTCCCAAAAGACTAAGCTCTGTGTAAATGGTACAGCTCATCTTTTTCTGATTCTCTCCCTCACATTTGATGGGTGTTTTATTAGGGTACTGGGGCTGGCATTGTCCATTGGTCACAGGGGACATGATTATAGATAACAATGTATTCTGTTATACTTAAACTTGAAATGGTTTTCCCTTTCTTTCCTCTTTTTCTTTGTCTTCCTTCTCTCTTTGCTTTCTTCTCTTACAGGTATGACGGCTTCGGAATGATCATAATATGAAACCCAGAGCTTGTTCCCCTTCCTTCCTCCCTCCCTCCCTCCCTCCTTCCCTCCCTCCCTCCCTCCCTCCCTCCCTCCCTCCCTCCCTCCCTTCCTTCCTTGTTTCTTTCCTTTCCATCTCTCTCTCTGTATTTCTACCATATTTCTCTCTGTCCCTCTGCTTTTCTCTGTGTGTCTTTTTTTTTCTCCTCCTTCTCTTCCTTTCTGTTCTATCAGGCCTGCCCCTCTCAGAGTGTCAATCATAATCTTCCATGAGTTTCCACCTCAGTGCATGTGAGAAAAACTCTGGCATTCCTCCTCTTCGCATACCTGAGAGCTGATTTCCTCATCAAATAGTTTTGAGCTTGCTTATGTCTTCTGCAGTTGTTTCAGCTGTATCAGATGCCTGTGCTGTGATAATCTATCATCTAGCTGTCTGTCTATCTATCTAGCTGTCTGTCTATCTATCTATCTATCTGTCTATCTATCTATCTATCTATCTGTCTGTCTGTCTGTCTGTCTGTCTGTCTGTCTGTCTGTCTGTCTATCTATCTATCTATCTATCTATCTCTCTATCTCTCTATCTATCTATCTCTCTATCTATCTATCTAATGCCTGTCCTGGGCTTGAACTTGGGGTCTGAACACTGTCCCTGAGCATTTTTATTCAAGGCTAGCACTCTATCACCTGACCCACAGCTCCACTTCCAGCTTTTTTGGTAGTTAATTGGAGATAAGAGTTTCACAGACCTCTTGCCCAGGGTGGATTTGACCATGCTATTCAAATCTCAGCTTTCTACGTAACTCCTTAAGGAGTACAGGTATGAGCCACTGGTGTCTGGTGTGTCTATTATTTTAGAGCAATGCTCTCTTTTCTCTCTCTCTCTCTATATATACATATATATTTATTTATTTATTTTGTGATCTGTGAGGCTTGACTCTGGGCCTGAGCACTATCCCTGAGCTCCTCATCTCAAGGCTAGTGCTCCACCATTTGAGCCACAGTGCCACTTCCTGATTTATTTATTTATTTCAAATTCTTCTTGGGAATCTTGAAAAACACTATAGCTCTGTTTCTCCCTACTCCAAAATGGACATAGCCACAACATTTTGCCTACAGTATAGGAGATTTATTGACTACTGATATACAAGCGATGGAGACAGCCACGTTGGAGCTCCCTGATTTAGAGACAGGGACTGTCTCTTCCATTAAACAACTGGATAGAAGCTGGGCATCAGTGGCTCACACCTCTCATAGTAGCCACTCAGGAGGCTGAGATCTAAGGATCACAGTTCAAAGTCAGCCCGGGCAGGAAAGTCCGTGAGACTCTTTCTCCAATAAATTACCAAAAAAAGCTGGAAGTGGAGCTGTGGCTCAAGTGGTAGATTGTTAGCCTTGAGCAAATGAAGCTCAGGGACAGCATCTAGGCTTTGAGTTCAAACTCCAGGATCAGAGAAAAAAACAGAAAAGAAAAGAAAAAGAAATAACTAAAGCAAAAACAAAGCAAAACAGAAAATCTGGGTAGCATCCCTTCTGTAGGTCTCTACTGAGTATTGAGTGTTTGATACACCCTCTGAATGTTACCCAACTAGGTGGTCAGCAAGATGTCTGTTAAAAGTCATTGTAACTGCCGCTGCCCAGGGCATGGGGCACCTGCAGTCATTCACAACGCTCTCAGTAATGGAGGGCTGTCTCCAGGAAGACAACACAGCTGCCCTGAGAACCACGACTCAGGCATCACAGCTGCCCAAACACCCATCTTCTCAACATCATGAAAAGAACACGTAGCCCATGAAGAAAGCTTTTCCAAAAGCAATAACACGGGAGAGCTCCCTCCCCCGTGCCTTTCTCCTCCCCTGTTTTGTCCTGGAATAATGTCATGCTGATAGGAACATGGATAAATTAATTACAGTGCGGAATGTTATTCATGGTAGGAAAGAACACCAGAGCTACACACACACACACACACACACACACACACACACACACACA